CCAAAGGAAATGGAATCAGTATTTGGAAGAACTCTCTGTACTGCAGTGTTCAGTGCAGCATTATTTGAAACAGCCAAGAAATAGAAGAATCTGTGTCAACTGCAGATGAATAAAGATGGATAACAAAATGTGTGTATATATATATATTCATGTGTGTTCTATACGTATATGTGTGGTGGCATAGTATTCAGCCATGACAAAGAAGGAAATCCGCCCATTTGTAACAACATGAATGACGCTTGAGGGCATATGCTAAATGAGATAATTCTGATAGAGAAAGACAAGTATTATGCAATCTCACTTGTATGTGGAATCTGAAAGTGCCAAACTCTTGAAGGAATGTTTGTTGCTTGGGGTGGGGAGGGGACTGGGGAGGTATTGGTCAAAGGACATAAAACATAAGATGACTAAGTTCTAGGGGCCTAATATATACCATGGTGACTATAATACCATATGGTATTGTAATGTATACTTGAGAGTTGTTAAAAGAGTAGATCTTAAATGTTTTGACCACATAAAGAAAGAAAAGGGTAGTTATATGAGGTGGAAGATGTGTTAACTAACCTTATTATGGAAATTCTTTTATAGCATACTTTGTTGTTGTTATTTAGTTGCTCAGTCATGTCTGACTCTTTTGAGACCCCCATGGACTATCTCGCCCATCAGGCTCCTCTGCCCATGGGATTTTCCAGGCAACTGGAGTGGGTTGCCGTTTTCTTCTCCAGGGGATCTTACTGACCCATGATCAAACCCGTGTCTCCTGCATTGGCAGGCTGATTCTTTACCACTGAGCCATCTGGGAAGTTTCTAGTATATACATGTATCAAATAATGACATTGTATGCCTTAAACTTACACAATATTATATATCAATTATATTTCAGTAGATCTGAAAAAAATACAGAGTGCATCCACCACTTTAAAAAAAAGAAAGCAAAGAAGGGATTTGACAATTTGGCAGGAGCGAACTGCTCTACCTGCCTATCTCTCTGAGTTTACTCACTTTCCTAGTCCCTCAGTCCCTGATGTCTGTTTACATCAGGTGTTGGCAAACTTATTTCCAACAAAGGCCAGGTAGTGAATATTTTAGTCTTATAGGTTATATGGTTTCTGTCACAACTGCTCTCTGCAGTTTTAACAAGAAAGTAGCAAAAAATTTTTTTAAAATTAAAGATAGTAACTGTAGATAATTTGTAAACAAATAAACATGGTTGTGTTCCAATAAAACTTTATATGTAAGAACAGTTGGTGAGTCAGATTTGACCCATGAATCATACTTGCTGTTCCTTGGTCTATTTCCAGTGGTAGACATTGTGCTTTTTAGATCAATTTATACTTGAATCATCATTGATACCTTGGACTAAGACTGGTAAACATTTAGAACAGGATTCTTCAAACTGGTAGTTCACTGGAAGACTTGAGAACTGTGTTAAGAATGTAGATTCCATAGTCCTGCTCCTAAAGATTCTAATACAGAATGTCTGGGAAAGAGCCTCAGCATCTGTACTTGTGGTCCCTGGCTCTATATTCATGCAAGAAGAGTTTGAAAACTGTATGTTTATGGCTTCCATAGATAACTTTGCAAAGACATAATATGAAATAAATCTCTGTGTAATTTGTTTCACCCACAATCCTAGCTCCGTGCCAGAACCTCTGGTTTAATGAACAGACTATCCATCCATTCCATCTCCAAACCTCATGTCGTTGCACCCTTTCCTGTTTTATTTAGAGGCAGACATGTTTAAGTGAAAATAGTCACCATCAGAATACTAATGTGCTATAAGCTGATGTCAGGATATTTATTCAGCAGAATGCAATTACCAGTAAAATTTTATGTTCTAAATGGTGTGACTATAATCCAGTGTAGGCTTTTTAATCCCTGGTGATTTTTGTTTCATTTGATCTGTGATGAGTGGAAACCAGGCATGGTTGCTGGAAGCTGGCAAAGCAAAAATAAAGGGGAAATACCCCCATGGCCACTACAGGCAGTTTTCAACTACAATATGTCACTTAAATCTCCATCACCACCAGGTGGCTCTACATGATTCTGTTGTTAATTGAATTTTTCCCCAAGTAGAATGAGGGCTTATTTTGCATCAACACAATTCCATTGTCTGATGATTGTTGTTGGTAAAGTCAGCTAAATGTAAGATATGTCAACATCCACAGGCATCGTTGCTGTGACTTTGGAGTGAGAGTGATCAAATGTACAGAAAGGACAGCATACGGAAGAGATGGTACTATGCTCGCTACACGGGTGTGGACGGGATGGTTGGGAAGGTCTCTGCACTGGTACTGTGCTCGCTACACGGGTGTGGACGGGATGGTTGGGAAGGTCTCTGCACTGGTACTGTGCTCGCTACACGGGTGTGGACGGGATGGTTGGGAAGGTCTCTGCACTGGTACTGTGCTCGCTACACGGGTGTGGACGGGATGGTTGGGAAGGTCTCTGCACAGAAATGATAGTATCCCTTCCCAGTGAGTCAAATCAATGGTACATGAGGTTGTTGTTCAGTTGCTCAGTCATGTCCAACTCCTTTGCAGCGCCATGGACTGTAGCCTGCCAGGCTTCTCAGTCCATAGGATTTTCTAGGCAAGAACACTGGAGTAGGTTGCCATTTCCTTCTCCAGGGGACCTTGAACCCAGGGATTGAACACTCAGACCCCTGCCTCCTGCATTGTCAGGAGGATTCTTTATGGCTGAGCTACCAGGGAAGCGCCAAAAAGGTACACGAGGTTGCCACATTTTATTACTAGTGAGGTAGACTTTGATCATGTGTTTAAGGTGGTGTCTGTGAGGTTTCTCCAATGTAGATTTAAATTTTAACTTTGTAATTAGTAAGTGTCTTGTAGGGAGATACTCCCAATGCTTTGTAAATTAGTGAGCTGGTTTTCAGGAAATATCCAAAATGAACACATTTAACTCTGTGCATATGAATGATGCATATCAGAGAAATTGATGGCTGAAAGTGGTCATACTGTGAAGGAATCTTAAAGTCTCTCATTTGAGAGAGAAGGGTTCACCTAAAAGCCAGCTGAGAATGTCATCTCAGATGTGGGATGACCAGCAGCCCAGCCCGTCTCCTCCCCTCAGATTGCTTTATTCCTTCCTGACCGCCGTTAGGATGTACCCTGTGTCCAGAGTGTGTTGTTCTCTGGTTACGTTTGTGTTAGAGTAGAGGAAGAATCCTTTCAAATCTTCCTCTTCTTCATGCTCGTTTAAAATAATTGTTGTTTGGTCTGTCAAGGTCTCTCTTTCTCCCCCTCTGCAGTGAGAGATCTGTTTTCACTAACTTGGCCCATGGATTTTTTTCTTTTTTTTCTGATACAGAACTGAGAGACAGTAATGAAGAAATGAGAAGAAAGGGGAAGGATCCTTGTATCGTGGGCCAGTTCCTAGGCTCCCCTTTGCTAGAGAATCCAGGTGAAGAGAAGAAAAAAAAAGAATGTCAGTGACACTGTTGATAGACAAGACAAAGAGCTAAGAGCCGAGGAGAAAGCAGAAAGAGCCTGATGGACTTAGAACCTTGTAGACCATTTTGTGACTGCCCTGGGAGGGGGCTCGCGAGCGAGTGGCCAGAGTGCCCTGCATGTTGTGGTGAAGACATGCGCAGTCAGCAAGTGACATGCAAGCACACGAGAGCCAATGGAGCGGTGCAGCTGATGCCTCTGAGAGTGTGTGCCCCCAGAGTGTGTGTCCCCAGAGACAGGCCTCTGGGAAGAAGACCCTGTTCCAGTCACCCATGTGTTCAGTGGCTCCTTGAACCAGGGAACCAGGGACTGCTGACAAATCTAGTATTTCTGATAATCAGCCAGTCCCTGTAGTCAAACCCACACATCAAAAAAATTAAGCTGAAAAAGGGACTTCCCTGCTGGTCTAGTAGTTAAGACTTCGCCTTCCAGTGCAGGGGGTTGCAGGTTCAATCCCTGGTTGCGGAGCAAAGATTCCACATGCTTCCAGGCCAAAAAACCAGAGTATAAAACAGAAGCAATATTGTAACAAGTTCAATAGACTTTAAAAATGATCCACATCAAAAAATTTTTAAAAACCTGATGCATCAGGGCCCCTCCCCATGGGGGAAGGAGAGAACCCAACCCCTACAGGACATTCAAGAAACTCATCTGCATGGGGACCTGACCACACCACACACCGACTGGTTCAGAGGGCTTATTAGCCTATCCCAGATATCCCGGTTCTATTAACACTGGCTACAGGGATCAAAGTTCCCTTTGACCCTTCTGAAAATATTAGGTAATGTCAGTGCAGGGGGATAATACACTCTTTCTGCATGTTTGCCCTGCAGTGCAGCAATTGTTGCCCTTGGGAATGATTGTGCTAATTCTTAAGCCATTAATGTCAAATACTACATGACTACACACTACTCTAACCAGAGAGCATGCAAAACAGAGTGTGATACATCTTTCTGGAGCATAGAGTTTATTAAGACTATGAAGAAACAAGAAAGAAGTTGGCAAGAATTATCCCCTCCCCCAACCACATGGAAGACAGAAGTGTGGGGGATGGGGACATGCCCCAGGAGACAGTCCAGTCTCTGAAGTTTCACCCAGCAGGGGAGGAGGGGCAGCCAGGCCAGGGTGGCGCCTCTTCTGGTCGCCCAGGCCCCTCCAGAGCATTCTCTGTGCTGGCCAGGGTTTTGGACAGGAGGCTTCCTGAAGGGGTGGAGGTGCTGGGTTTGAGCCCTGTCATCCAGGTGGGAACATGGCCAGGTCCCAGGGGGCTTGGCAGGTCATCCACTGGGTGTTTCTGGGCTCACTTTATTTTTACCCCTCTTGCTGGGCAGCCCACAGCAAAGATGTTTAAATATACCTCTCAAGATTCTCCCAGAACCCTCTTCTTTCTCTGGGCGAGGCCAGGGGGGATGACTGTGGACATATTCTCGGGCTGCCCAACAGGGGTGGCGCTTCCGGCATCAGGCACATCGGGGAGCGGTGGGTTCCTTCTGGGAGTTCACTGCTGACGTCATGGGTGCCATTGGTGTTTCACGTGTCACAGGTGATGTGGTTGCCGTGCGTGCCATGGGTTCTGTGAGTGTTGAGGGCGACGTGGGTGCACGGGTGACCCTGGTGCCATGGGCGCCCCAGCCTCTTGGGCCTCACAGGTGCCAGAGGTGCCATCTTTGCCTGGGTGCGCCTGGTGTCACTGCAGCCACTGGCGCCACAGGTATCGCGGGCGCCACGGGCGTCTTCTGTGCTGCAGGCCCCAGTGCTGTCCTGGGTGCTTAGGGCGTCATGGCTGAGGCTGGTATCACAGGTGAAGCTGGTGTCACAGGTGCTGCAGGCGTCACAGGTGAAGCTGGCACCACTGGTATTGCAGCTGTCGCAGGCGCTGCTGGTGTCGCAGGCGTCTCTGGTGTCCCGCGTAGCACTGGTATCACAGGTGTGGCTGCTGTCACGCCTGTTGCAGGTGTCACAGGTGAGGCTGGCCCTGCACGTGTCGTGGCGGTCACCGGCATGATCGGTGGCTCGGGCGATGCTGTCTTCATGGGTGTCGTGATTGGAGGGGGCTGAGCTGGGGGTGACGGTCCTCGCCTCCGGGCAGGGTGGGGGAGTGGCAGGCTCTCTGGTCGTCTCCCTTGACTCCTGGCTCTCCTGCTGCTGAATGGTATCCCAAAGCCAGTCGGGAATAAGCATGGACACTTCAGGGCTGGCGGGAGGCGTATGTTCTTGGCTGCTGAGGTCGGAGGAAATGGCTGGCCTCACAATGATGGTGCGGGCCCCCACCTTGGGTTCATCCCTGTCACTGCCACTGCTTGTAAGCCAGCCCTGGATCTGGTCCCTCCACCAGCCCAGTACCATCTCCGCTGTCACCCCAGGGTGCTCTTCACAGGCTGGTGGGAGTGGCTCCTCCCGGCCCATGTTCACCCATGGATTCTGCCAAACATCATCTAAAGTCCCTCTATTGGTAGGGTTGAGCGTTAACATCCTCTGTGTTAAATGTGTTACTTCATTTCATAGATATTTGGGCACATAGTATTGCCCTCTAGGGATGCACCGCAGCTCCCAGAAAGCTTGTCCCCTGAAGGGGAGGGATCCAGTTACTATGGTGTACGCCGAGGTGTACTATGGACGACACCGAGGCTCCACACATCCACCTCTGGGCCTGTGTAAGGCAGCCTCAGGAAGAGTTCTGGGGCCGTGAACAGGGGGCTGCCGCAGAAAGTGTCTAGCTTCTTTCTTGGGTGCCAGTGTTTGCTAAAGCCGAAGTCTGAAATCTTGATATTGTTGGCATCGGGGAGAAGGCTGCTCAGCTTCACGTCCCGGTGCACCACGCCCCGCTGGTGGCAGTGCTGGAGAGCCGAGACCAGCTGGCGGAACGCGCCTCGGGCCTCCCCCTCCGTCAGGCAGCCTTGGGCCTCCAAGTAGGTGAATACGTTTCCCCCGCTGAGGTATTCCATTACTATAAACAGAGTCTCCTCTGTATTGATAACTTCCAGTAGTTTCACGATATTCGGGTGTTTCAAGATTTTCATACTATTAACGTCTCAAAACAGTTCCTGGAGGCTGGAGAACCTCTGATTTGTCTTTTTTATTACCTAATAGCTAGCAGCTAGCACTCCCCTGGTGAGAACATGCCAGGCCAACTTCACTTTGGCAAAGTGGCCTTCACCAATTGTGTAAAGGATCTCAATATTCTCAATATGAGCCATCTTTTTAGCAGAGATGGCCATGAGGTGCCACATCCCTAACTCTCACTAAGAAAGAACCCTGCCAGCCCTCACTAAGAAAGAATGCTAACTATACTAACAGTGATTACTATGCTAACACTATTATAGAACTGTCAGGTTAGTTTATTTCTTTTCCTCGGTTCTTGTCGCAACAAAAATTTGGAGTGATGGACCAAAGTTGTGGAACAGCGGAAAAGTTACAGCTCAGTTCAACTCAAGCACTCCCAGAGGAGTCCTCCTCACTCTGTCAGTCCCTCTTGGCTTCCCCTTCTTACATTTCCTCTTGATTACGCCCAGTCAAACAGGGCTTGTGCCCACCACCAATCAGTGCAAATGGGCATACGCTCAAGGCTGGTTGACAATTATACGTTGTCTAACAGCCGGCTGTGTTGTTTAGGTCCTCCCATAATTCTGTTAGATGTAGGGTATTCACGAGTCCTTGATGGTCTCCTAACTGCCTGAGGTTACTAGAAGCCCCTGTGGTCCTTTTGTATCCTCGGTGTGCCTAGGGCCATGTGCAGGAGTTGAAAAGTCTCTGTGGCTCTTTTGTAGTATATCTGTGAGCTCTTCTGGGTGTGTCTGGGATGGAGTTTAGAGATGAGTATACATCCCTTTTCAGCCAGGCCTCCCTTCAAGTTGCTCACGTTTAACTTCCTACCTGACAGTCCCCCCTCATGTTGTATGGACCCCAATTCGTTGGAGAAATGGGTGTCATTCATTCTGGCTACTTCCTGCTGAGTTGTGGCAATGAGGGGCCTTGGGTGTCCAGCACTTGGTAGCTGTCAATGAGAGAGGCCAGTAAGGGCTGCTGCTGTCTGTCCAAGGGGGAGTGGCGTGAGGAAGTCATCAGAGGCGTCAGGGGTTGATATCTATGCTGTATCAGAAGCTGACCTGAGAAGTAAACTAAGTAGGTTGAGGAAAGAGGGAGCCGACAGAGTTATAGGCCAGATGCACGGTAGGGTCGCATCCTTGACTGGCTGGAACCAGGTTGCTGTGGTGACCTTGTCCAGGATTTGATTAGTTTCGAATAAGTTTTTGGTGCTCAGTCCTGACCTATTGATATAAGTCAGCTTTTTAAGAATTGGGTTAGGACATACCACAGCTAGTCTTATTGAGCGTGTTCATGATTTCTGTGGTGGCTGGACTTCAGGAGTGTATATAAGAGTGACAGCACCAGAGATACATGAGCCAGACTGGGGTGTCCTGAGTATGGTCTTATGGGAGCCGATAACAGACATGAAAAGGATAGGATCTCCCCGACTAACACAAACCAAGAGAGAGGCAACGAGGTAGACCAGACTGAATGCAGGCGCCATCCCAAGAAAGCTTATCCCCAGGAGCTTAACCTTTTGGATATTCATCAGAATGACCCTCACCTGTAGTCCTGAATAGATATCGGAGGTCTTCCAGAGGCTCTCAGGTACATCGGGAATCTTCTCCTGTTTTATTCCACGACTTTACTTGAGAGTGGTGAATCCAGGCGTCATGCCTTGGCAGCTTGGCTGCTGTGGAGGTCGAGAGTATTATGGGGTAAGGCCCTTCCATGTGGGCTGGAGTTGAGCTTTTGGGGACGCATCTTTCTAAACCTTAATGAGTAGGTAGTGGTATATAGTGGAGGTCCCTCAGATTCTTTTGGGCCCTGGTTGAGACCCCACAGTCACATTTCTTATTGGAATTGCCGAGTGACCATAGTGTAATTTAGAAGGGTTTGAGTCTCTGGATCTAAAAAGAGGTCATCAACATAAACAAATGGTCTCTGATATAACCTCTCATAAGTGCTAAAGCCAGCCTGTTCTTTTGGAGCAATGTGAGTATGAAAGGGGTATTGGTAACGCCTCCTTCCATAAAGGGGAGGTCTCCTGAATTATCTGAGTGCCAACTTTAAGAATTGGTTGGCTACATTTTAGCTGTGCAGTTTCAAGAAATGTACTTGACCTCTCTGTATTTTTTTTTTTCAGTAGTAAAATCAAAATGCTGATTTTATGTACTTCACCAGCTTGTTGTGAGGATTAAAGTGTTTTGAACAGAAACTGGCTTCTAGAAATCAGTTACTACGTTTTTGAAATAAATTCTGACGAGTCTGGGAATCACTGGGTCACTTGGATAAGGTCCTAGCTTATCTGAGTCATGAGCATAGTTTTGCCAAGCACTGTGTTTAGTGGACCAGGTTATGCTCTTTTCAGGTCCTTCACACGTTTCTCACAGAATCTCAGTCCTAGAACTAGCTTGTGTTATCTATCAAATGGGGGAAATTAAGCGTTATCCAAAGTCAAGCATTTGAATGGGAAGGTTTCTGGAAGATCCATCCCATCTCCAAAACCTCTGATATTTTGAATCATTCTGGATTCTTACAAACTCATTGTAGCTTCTTTGGTTCTATAAAATCTGAAAAATTGATTTCATCCCCATTGTATTACTCACATATTAGGTGAGGATTTAAGAAAGATGCTTCATCTTTGAAGAAGGAGTACTTTGTAAGTCAGGATAAAAATATACCTTGATTGATTGGTTAAACACTCGTGGACTCACTTTTCTTTCTCCCTTAAGATTTTTCTCTCCTTTTACCTGTTCTCCTGTATGTCCCTTCCTCCGCTATTTTCTCAAGTCCCAGTCAATATCCTTCAGAATACAGGCTTCTGATAATTCTTCTCTGTCAGAAGCAGGGCATTTAATCTCAGTGCATACTTGCCTGCAGTGTCTAGGGTGGTAGTTATCAGCGAAGCAGAATGGGGGGTCTTGTAGAGCTGTCCATCACGCTTCTCCTCAACTAGTATAGACAGCCTGTGTCTGTTGATTGTTGACTTGAGACTTAAACATGGCAGGATATCTGCAACTTCCTGAGTTTCCTTGTGCATCTTATGGTTACTTAATCCTCTTTGAACCCAGGTGAAGGAACTCAGAATTCCCATGGTGGGTGTGAGCAATCTATTCACAAACTGATTCTGAAAGAGAAATTTCTTAGGGGGCAGGAAACTAGCATCCTGTGCAACCATAATTCCCATTCTCCTGTATTAATGAGTGAGACTTCCTTGAGCACTGTGTGCCAGGCTCCGTGCCAGGTGCTAGGGATGCGGGTGAGCAAAACAAGTGCATGTCTCTGTGATCACAACACTAGTTTTCTGGAGGAGACTTGTTGGGTAAGAAATTACACAGTTCAGTTCAGTTCAGTCACTCGATCATGTCCGACTCTTTGTGACCCTTGGACTGCAGCATGCCAGGCCACACAAAGTATTTATCAAATTACAGTGGTGTTAGGTGCTATCAGAGAAAAGTTGCACAAATAATTATTTACTCCTATTGATGTGGAGTGCTACAGAAGATTACAGGGTGATGATTGGTTCATCCTGTAGTTGTACTTACCCCAAGTCCTTACACACACCCAGGTGACAAAGTTTCAATGTTGCTTCTTGGTTTGGGAATTTTTGCAAAGAAGAAGCTTCAGATCATGGGTCTAGATGAAATGGGGTTTGAGGTTTCAATAAGGAAAGAACCTGGGAACAAGGGGTAGAATCTTCTACCATGAGCCGATGCCTCTAGGTGATTGGCTTAGCTCTGGGGACTGGAGAAACACAGAGCTTGGATGGTGACTGACATCTGGACGCATCAGATTCACACAAGGACCCTGAGAAAATCTTTGAAGTTTGTGCAGGGGAATCCCAGTAAAAAGTATCCTCTTGACTGAGGAGCTGACATATAGCTAGGATGGGTATTCTCTCATACCTGGCTTGCAGCTTTCAGATGGACATTTAAGGAGTCGGGGGGGGGGGTGGCTTATCAGGTGTATCTTTCTAGGGAGCCACACAAGGCATCTCAAGATCTGTAGGCTGACCGATGTTGCAGCCTTTTCACCTGGCTGACTCACTGACTATTAGGAACAGAAACGTGTTTGGGGTGATTCAAGTGAGTGGTTCTCATTCCTGGAACTGGAATCACCCTGAACTTATAAAAACAGAGAAACCCAGGGCATAGACTTACTGGGACAGATTTAGGATGATCTCAAGAGATAAGGATTGGGAATCTCTATATTTTTATATGTTCAGGCTAAATGCCAAGTAAGGGGAGTCTGTGGGCAAGCATGAGCCCTGATGGCTCAGATGGTAAAGAATCTGCCTGCAATGCAGGAGACCTTGATTCGATCCATGGGTGTGAAAATCCCCTGGAGAAGGGAATGGCGACCCACTCCAGTATTCTTACCTGGGGAATTCCATGGACAGAGGAGCCTGTTGGGCTACAGTCCATTGGGTTGCAAAGAGTTGGACATGACTGAGTGACTAACACATTATTCTGTTCATTAATTTTAAATATAGTTTTCTCTACTGGAATATTACTTAGGAAATCACAATTTAAATCTTTGCATAAATGTATGATTCTCAGAACCAGATCAGAATACTTTTAATACTATTTCTCTTTGGGAAACTAAATGCCTCTTCCTAATCCTGAGGGTGAATTTTTAGTTAAGTTGCTCACTAGTTCTGTGGGGAAAGTATGTGTGAGTGTGTGTGTGTGTGTGTGTGTGTGTGTAAGCATGCTCACAGAATGTTTTCAGTAGTTGTTTCCAAAGAGTAGGTGAGGTGAGCCCTGTCATTTCAGATGTCATTTGATATGGCCCAGTGTGTGTTCTCTCAGCTCCATCTGGATTGCACAGATGAGAGGAAGAGCAGCATGTAAGTGAGTTGCTTTCTTCAGTGTTAAAGGCTATTGTCTGTATTTGCTCAGTCATGCCCGATTCTCTGCTACCCCAAGGCCTTTAGCCCGTGGTAGTCCACCAGGCTCCTTTGTCCATGGACATTTTCAGGCAAGAATAC